GTTCAGAGTAAAAAACAAAGACGATGTTTTTATTTATTRTTTAATTATTCTCCATTTCTTTGGTTTTCAGTTTTATGACTTTTAGTTTTAAATCCGTCCTCATTTAGTAATTTTCCTCCAGGTTCTGTGGATTAATGACGGGCCCGCAGGCATCACTGCGACCCGCTCACATCAGGTTCTGCTCACCTGAGACCTGAGACGAGCCACAGTTTCATTTAAAATATCACATTTACAGAACTTTACTCAAACATCTAAAGTTTGTCTTTAATTCTTCTGATAAACTGGTTCGGGTCAAACCGGGCCGTCTGGTTCTGGTCGTTGGARTCAGTGAAATCAGTTTGTTTTAAAGTGTCTTTGACATGTTCATCCTTCAAATTCAAAAAGCCAAAGAAAACATTTTTATATTTAAGTAAATTAGCATAAAGCACATTGATTTTACTCATTTTGTCTCATAACTGTCAGATTTTCTCTTGAATTTCTCTCAGCAAAGTGAAACAGGAAGTGACATCACGGGAACTCTATAAGAAAAGAAAACTCTGGTCTTTGTTTATTGAAACAATCTTATTTAAACTCTTCTTCATCTCTGATAGTGACTCAAAATAATCAGATTCTTCTCCAATTATTGTAGCATCGCTCTGTTTACATTCAGACATTTCCCTCTGACATCACTTCCTGTTTCTTCACATGCAAATATCTCAACAACCGTTCATCTCAACGGCGTGAAATTTGTTCTGCAACATGTTATCAATGTTCTCTTTCCAAAAACCCATTCAYATTTATTACAAAAATTTGATGTCACAGGCCCTTTAATCCAACATGAAGCTGAATTCTCTTCAGAGACACAGATCAGTAACTATCTGTTGTCTCACAGGATAAAAACAGTTGGTCCGGTCCAAACGGGTCAACGCCAGAGACCGGACCCAGCTGCGCTCTGCCGGACATCAGGTAGAGTCCCATAAACAAAAACATGATCGAGCTAAAGCCGAAAGCTCTGATGCTAATGGTACGTCAGCCGAAAATGCTTTTAGAGCAGATTCTTGTTAGCGAAATATCTCCTGCACCACTGAAACGGTGTGAATGCTGAGTCAGCAATTTCCTCTTTCCTGTTCAGTTTCTTTAATAAATTATTTGTAAAACGTCCACAGACGAATTTAATCATTCAGCTTGATCAGAAAAAACACTCTGGAACTTCAGCTCCTCTGGGATCAATAAAGTATTTTTGAATTTGAATTTGAATTTTTCTAACTTTAAATCTGCTTCAGCTGCTCACTCTAGTTTTGTTTGCTTATGCTACATTTAACTTTGAGCTATTGTCTTAGGGTTAGCTTTGAGCTACTGTCTGGTTAAGTTTAGCTTTAAGCTACTGTCTTGTTAAGTTTAGCTTTAAGCTACTGTCTTGTTAAGTTTAGCTTTAAGCTACTGTCTTGTTAAGTTTAGCTTTAAGCTACTGTCTTGTTAAGTTTAGAGCTATTGTCTTGCTGTGTTAAACTTTCAGCTAGTTATACAAACAGAAGTTTTAGCTACAGCCTTGCTAAGTGTAGCTAGCGAGGTGTTTCTACTTTTTGACATTTAGTTTTAGTAAATTTGTTCATGATTAATCTTTTTTATTTTGTTTTATTGAAGTTGGTCAGATTAAACTCAAACTTCAAACATTCAAATAACTTTTTATTTTTAGCGTCTTTCTTTGCTTCAGTTCTCTMCTCTTTTTTTCGGAGCTTCGTTTTGTTGTATTTTTCACTTCCTGTTCGTCCTGTAAAGTTCAGCTCTCTTCTTTCTGTCTTCGGCTGTTTGTTTGTTTTTTTTTAGCCGAACGTTTCTTTAAATTGTCTCAGTATTTGTCTGTTTTTAACCATCTGTCGGCGCTGAGCTGTTTTTATGAACTGCTGCTCGCCTCACGTCGCCCWCTCTTCAGGATATTTTGGGAGAAACGTTCTGCCCGATCAGCACACCTCCACCTGCGTCTCCTTCGTCTGCCAGCAGGAGGAAGAGGAGGTGGAGTCCATCAGCGTCTCTGCAGACGGCTGCAAATCTGACCTGCTGTTAAAGAGAAGTGGCTGCAGGTTCCTGACAGGCTGTAAATAATTAATCAGTCGTCGATACGCTGAAGCCCGGAGAGGCCAGCTGCAGCTTTAAGAGCATCCATCAAACCCGGCGCAGGCTTTTATTTTGAAGGACAGGAGAAATTACACCACACATCTCTTCTCATCCCTCAGCTGAGTCAGCAGATTTAAAATCTGTCATAAAGTCAAACATTTTACTTATTAGGAGTTACTTTTAGTTATAAACACAAAATCAAAACACAGAGGTGGTAAAACATCAACAATGACCTCGAGAACCAACAGTTGCTGTCACTCAAAATGAAGGGTCAGAGGTCAGATCCACAGAAACAGTTCATCCATCAGGACTGATGAGCTAAAGGCTAGTCAGAGTGAAGCGTCGTTGCTTTCTTACTGCCGCAGTGCATTCTGGGGCTGCAGATCTTCTCTCCTCGAACTTCAACATCTGTCTGAGTCGGCTCTCCTTCAGCCGTCACTTTGGACCCGCTGCAGTTTTATCCGTTTGTCAGGTTTTCGCTCCCAAAGGTCGCAGCTGCCGGTTCTTTCCCTCCGGTTTTTGTGTCGGAGAGGTTCAGCTGTCAGAAATGCAGCGTCAGCGCTCCGGTTATTGAATTCCTCCGGTAAATTGGTTGTTAGGAATCCTCTGGGGGTCCGGCAGAACCGAGCTGCTGCAAAGGGGATTAATGGATGCTGGAGGCACAACGTGATCTTTAATACAGGTTAAAACTGATTTCCATAAAAATCTCTGACAGTTTTAAAGATGTATTACATCTACATTTAATGTTACTGTTTTAAAAGATGTATAAAAACTTTGTAGACAGRTTTTCATAAAGTTTTAGTCCTAAAAAGGATTGATTTAGGGGTTGTACTTCAGTATTGCTCGTCAAGCTTGATGTATGTGTTGTGAATGACTCTCAGATACTACCACACCATGATTTAAATATTTTAAAAACTGACTAAAGAGAGTTGTCACTATGTTTCCTGATACAATGCCTCACTGTGAGTCAGTGTGTTGGTTTTATTTTAAAAAGACATTTGGAGAAGGAGCCAAGATTTTTTCATGACTTCATAATTTTATTACTTTCATAACCCCGGGAAACATACAGTATATACTGGAAAACACATTGTGTGTACTGGAGAACATACTGTACATACCAGAAAACAAACTATATGTACCGGGAAACAAAGGTACCAGTAAACGTTTTGTATGTACCGGAAAATGTACTGTATGTACAGGAAAACATACTGTATGTACAGAAAAACATACTGTATGTACCAGGAAACATACTGTATATACCGGAAAACGTACTGTATGTACAGAAAAACATACTGTATGTACCAGGAAACATACTGTATATACCGGAAAACGTACTGTATGTACAGGAAAACGTACTGTATGTACCAGGAAATGTACTGTATGTACAGGAAAACGGGAAACAAAGGTACCAGTAAACGTATTGTATGTACCGGGAAATGTACTGTATATACCGGAAAATGTACTGTATGTACAGGAAAACATACTGTATGTACCAGGAAATGTACTGTATGTACAGGAAAACG